ACCCGTGTGCCCTGCCAGCTGCACCCAGGAGTAGCGCTTGCGGAAGGGGCTCATGACCGGCAGGTTCACCATGGTGCGGATCTTCTGCCAGTGGCTTTTCTGAAAGCAATAGGTCCCAGTCTGCAGGTAGCATCTGAGGGACGCAGGCGCTCCCAAGCCGACCCAGAGGAAGCCGAACTGCCGCTAGGGCCTTGAGCTCTGCTTGCCTCTCAGGCACTGCGGAAAGTTTATGGTTGGAACACACAGAGACGGGGCAAGGGTCTCCACTCCGGAACAGGGTAACCAGCCCTGGATTCACCATGGGAAGGCCAGGTTCACACCAACTCCACTGCTGAGAAACTGCCTGTGCCACTGGGGACTTTTGTGAGCGCCAGAATTACCTAATGGTCAGAATTATCTAGAGACAGGGTCTCACTATGTAGTTGAGACTGACCTGGAACTCACTATGTAGCCCAGACTGGTCTCGAACTCACAGTAATCCTCCTGCCTCAACCTCCAGAGGGCTGGGATTATAGGCCGGTGCCACCACGCCCAGCTCATTCATTCAGTTTTTTGAGACAGGGTCTCACTGTGGAGCCTAGGCTGTCCCTGAGCTCAAGCAATCCTTCTGCCTCAGCTTTCCAAGTGCTGGAATTACAGGCATACCCATCACATCTTTGTTGTTTCCTTTTTTGACACAGAATCTCTCCGGTATAATCCAGGCTAGTCTTGAACTTGCAGTGTAGCCCTGACTGGTCTGAAACTGACATCCTCTTGCTCTAGCCTTCCCAGGGTGAGATTACACGTGCCCCCACATCTACCTGATGGTGAATTTTTTTTTTTTTTTTTTTTTTTTTTTTTTTTTTTTTTTTTTTTGAGACAGGGTCTCACTATGTAGGTGAGACTTACCTAGAACTCACTATGTAGCCCAGGCTGGTCTCAAACTCACAGCAATCCTCCTGCCTCAGCCTCCCGAGTGCTGGGATTACTGGCATGCGCCACCATGGCCCCTGATGGTGACTTTTAACAGAGATTCTCAAGTCTACTGCCAGGAAATTCTGGGTAGGTTTGAGGTGGGGCAAAAATTTGCATATAAAGCTTCAGCATCAGTTTCTTTATCTACAAAATGGGGGAGGGATCAGTCATGGTGGCCCATGCCTGTGAACCCATCACTTGGAGGCTGAGGCAGGAGCATCACAAATTCGAGGCCCCCTGGGCCACTTAGTGAGTTCAAGACAAGGAGACAAGCATGAAATTCACAGTGAACGAGGGAATCACAACATTTTCTGGGGTGTTGTAAGTAGTAAATGAGGCCTCAGTGTGACTGGCACTCAGCTCCCAGTCCCACTCCTTGGCGTGAAGCAGATGCCAGACAAATCTGGATCACTAGTTCCCCTAGGACAGCAGTGGTGAACCTATGGTACATGTGCTGCTGCAGTACACAGCGCCCTCTCTGTGGATGCATGAGCCGAGTCACTCCAGCATGGCCCTAGCAGCTGGGCATTCCACCCTAATTGCAGTGTTGGCGCTTTGCAATAAATAAGTGGGGTCTGAGCTGCAATTTGGGCCCTCAGCCTCTAATATATCACTGACCTAGGACTTCAGTTTCTCTTATTCAAGAAAACACAGAATCAATCCTTCCCAAGACTCAAGAGTAGAGGCCAGCCTGGTAGGCTGTGCAGAAAAAATGGCTTGGGGCCTGTAATCCCAGCGCTCTTGGAGGCTGAGGCAGGAGAATCATCAGTTCAAATTCAAGCCCACCCTGGACAAATGAGTGACTTTGGGAGGCCCTGTCTCAAAATAAAAATACAAGTGAAGGCTGGGGATATAGCTTAGTGGGAAGGCCCTGGACAATCCCCAGGACATAAAGGGGAGGGAAGAATACTCTGGGATTCTGGTGTAGTTAGGGTGGGTGTGGGTTTGGATTGGCTTTGGGACTGGGCGGGTCACAGACGTGTGGCCTTGGGCCCCTCACCTATTTCTCTCTGGCAGCCTCCCCCTCGGCCTCCCTGCTGCTACCCTAGGCTAAGCAGCTTTGCTCTGCCACACCTTCCCACCACAGTCTTCACCTGAGCCATGGACTGAACCCTAAGCAAAGGGAACCTCTCTTCCCTTAAGTTGTGGGCACCGGGTATTGCGACTCACTAACACAGCTCCCCAAAACACTTGAGCTGTCCCTGGGTTCCCTGTGTGCCTCACTAGTTGGCAAAGCCCTAAAAATCTTTTATTCTGGTCTGGGCCAGGAAATTGAGCCCTGCAAATGGGGTGCAAAGCTGAGGTCCTGGCATCTTAGTCACTGCTGTAGGGAATGGCGATTTTGGGGGTACCTTCTACCTTGCAACCATTTCTCTGGCCTCCAACTGATCCAGCAAATGTCTTACATTTGCCACCCCAAGCCTGGACCCTGTCTGCCCGGAGGTGCCTGGCTTTGCCCCTGTCACTGTATCTGCTGCCTCCTCTTAGGGATACTCACCTTTCAGAAGGGTTGCGCCTGGGTCCTCACAGGACTGAAGCCAGGAACCAGCCACAGGGATTCCGGGTGGGAGAGGGAGGACTTAAGAGGTGGCTAGAGTAGGGGGACAGACAAAGGCCTTTCCATGGGGAAGTGGGGTCTAGCAGGGGTTCTAGTCCTGACTTTACCACTTTGTAGCTGAGTGAGCCTGAGCAAGCACTGCCATTCGTGTGGATGCCCTTCCTTGTAGGGACACAGTGGCTGCCCTACCATGACCCACTGTTACTGCCTGGCCTGCCAGGCACCTTCTTGTCTTCCCTCAGACAGTGCTGCTCATGCAACCCCTACCTACATCCCCACATGGTGCACCAGGGCAGGATCACATGGCCAATCCTGGGATCTGGGGGTGTAGCCAGAAGCAGCCCACTAGAAGCATGACATCTCCTTCAAAACTCCCTTTGAGAATCTTTAAATACACACAAGGTTTGCATTTTGATGCATAATAAATTTGAGTTTTATTATAAAACTCCCCACCTCCCAATCTTCAAGTAAAATTCCAGGAAAGTGATTTATGTACCATCCTTCAGCAGCAGTGCCATCCTAGATCTCCTTCTCTCTGGGCCCACAGGCACTGCAAAGGCAGAGCCGTGCTGCTAGTCCCATTTTCCATAAGGAAGTCCGGGCTCTGAGTGAGCATCAGCTCCCTCCTTGCCTATAGATCACCAGTCTCCAGAGGAAGCTCCTAGCAGCCCCATGCCCTCCGAGTGATCTAAGTGCTCCAGTGGCTTCCACCTTCCCTGGCACCACCTGCAGGTCACATGGGACCAAATGTGAGAGCCGTGTGCAATGATCGGCAGCTGGGGATGCTGTGCTTGAGCTCTGCACAACATGGGACTGGCCTCCCACCTTCAGGGATGGGTTTAAGTGGAAGAGCTTCGGGCAGTTCAGGGGTCTGCTAGCAGAATGTGGGGACTAGTGGGCCCAGGATGGACCTAGTGGTACGATTCTGTAGTTACCCTGGTAGAACGGGAAACAGCCTTGGAACAGCAGAGCAAGGTACCTGTGCCAACCTTCCTTCCTCTTGGGGTTTTGGGAAGCAGAGAAGGTGCTGGGGTGGACACAGGCGCAGCTGGAGGGGCGGTGATTTGCTACTCTCAGCTGCATGTGATAACAACACCATGCTGCTCCCAGGGAGAGAGGAAACAGGGTCATCTACCCTCCTAACCCACCTTGTGTGTCCCATGTGTGCCAAGAGCAGCAGGAAACAAAGGGTTCTGTACCCAGGACCTCAGCTGAGTCCTCCCAGCCACCTTCTGAGCTTGCTTCTTTCTTTTTGGTCCTGTGGATTAAAGCCTAGCCCTCCCCCTTTTATTTATTTATGTATTTATTTATTTTTGGTACCGGGGATTGAACTCAGGTCTTTGCTCTTGCAAGGCAGGCCACCAAACCACTGAGCTAAATCCCCGGCCCTTATTTTTTATTTTGACACAGGGTCTCAAGAAATCACTAAATTGGCCAGGTTGGGCTTGAATTTGAAATTCTCCTGCCTCAGCCTCCTAGAATGCTGTGGTTACAGACATGTACTATCATACCCAGCTTCCTGAGCTTTTTTTTGGTGGGGGGTACTGGGGATTGAACTCCCTTATGTTTGCAAGGCAGGCAGCAGAACCACTGGGCTAAATCCCCGGCCCCTGAGCTTTCTTACGACAGGATTCCCTTACCAGTAATTGTCAAGATGGAAGAAGTAAGGCCAAACACGATGGAACTCAATCGGCTCTCATCAGTCTCAGGGAGTTACCTTCCCCAGGGAACACAATGCCCTCACAAGTGAATGTAGCCACAAAGGCTCCTGGGGAATCACTGGAGAGTGGGTGGGTAGGGATTTTGGTTCATGAACAACAGTGGGGAAGATATTTTTGAGCAACTGAAACTTATTACATGGGGGCATTAGAAATCAGAGTTTGATATTAGAGTGAAATCCAGTGCCAAGGAGACTGAAGCCTCACGCTTTGGCCCAGCCTTCCCTGTGGAGCTACCTGATTATCCTGGAGTGAAAGGTGAGGGAGCTGACTTGAGGACTCATCCTTCGCCCAGCTCGGCTCTCACCTGCCACTCTGCCAGCCCAGCACCCTCCCCATGCTCCACTTGTCCTATCAAACTAGCACTCCCAGTGGTGGTGGTGGGGAAAGCAATCAGTTTAAATTTATAAAATGATTTGCACCAAGGTATAAGTGACCCACGACTTCACTTTCCCACGGGCATTTGCTTTATAAAAAGGGAGTCCGCTAACCTAAATTCTGCTCTATAATTAGTGGCAAGTGAGGTGTGGGGGTTCTGAGTACAGGAGGGGCGGGCATTCAGGTCTCCTTACCTCACCTGGAGCACTGAAAGGAGAAAGGCAGATGAACAAGAGCCAAGCACCCGCTCCTCTGCTACAGCAACCCCAACAGTTGCTTGAGGCCCACAGCTGTCTTGGGGGTAGTTCTCCATCCCCTTTCTAGGACTGTCGGGATTCCCCTGTCCCTACTTTTCCCTCCTCCAGAGAAAAGGCTGCTGGAGGGAGTGAGGTTGGCCAATCTACCTGCCCTGCTGTGGCTGGCTCCTGGGGGCAAGGGGAAGGCTGTATGAGCCCAGCAGAAGCAGGCAGAGCCCCACCTGCCTCTGGCCGCCCAGGCTAGGGTGTAAGGCACTGGCCAGCTGGGAGCTAAGAGCCCATCCTTCCCAGCCGGAAGTGCCTGCTTCCTGCTTGGGGAAGCCCTAAAGGTGGCCCAGGCCTGCGCTGCGCCGCTGCTGGACGGCCCAACTGAAGCGCAAAGTCCGCTCGAGGCCCTTCCACGAGGACTCAAGCAGCCTCTGTCAACAGCCCCGGGCTTATCTGCGCCACGGTGCCTGTTTGCCTTCGGGGAGGCCCCGGCAGCACACTGGGGGTTGGGAAGGGCTGCAAGTAGTAGCCTTGTAGTCTTGGGGCTGGAAGGGCATTCAGCAGCCATCTGCCCAGCTCCTGGGGAGCCCGACAGAAGAGGCCAATGCAACACTCCGGGCACATGTGCAGCTGGCGCTGGAGTCTAGGCCCCAGCCGGGGTTTCAGCAGCCATCTGCCCAGCTCCTGGGGAGCCCGACAGAAGAGGCCAATGCAACACTCCGGGCACATGTGCAGCTGGCGCTGGAGTCTAGGCCCCAGCCGGGGCTGCCTGCACCGCACGCTGGCGTGAGCGTGAGGCCTCCCCAGGTCTCCGCGGGTCCTCCCTCGCCCCTGCGCCGCCTCTCAGGTGTCAGAGATGTGAGGAGGGCGCGGCCAATGAGGAGGGTGGGAGGGGTTCTCTCCAGGCTCCTCCTGCCACTGCCTTGGGAACCCTGGTGGCACTGGCTCCGGAGGCGGAGCGACCCCAGAGGGCCAAGACGGGTTGGGAACCTGGAGTGGCGCGGGCGGTGGGTGGTGTCCGGTTCTGCGAGCGTAGGTGTCACCAAGCCCGCTGCCCTCCGGGTACTGGAAGTCTCCTGGAGACTCGGAACCACTTCAGTAATCACACGGCCTCCCGCACCTGCTTCAAGGCGACCTTGCAGCGGGCCAGGGTAGGGAAGGCCCAGGCCGAGCCGCAGCACTTGCTCCCTGTGGTGTCCCGCCAGGAGCACACCTGCAGCTGTCACCCCGTCGCCGGCCCGGCCTTCAGGGCAGGCCTGGAGACACTGGAGGCCCTTGCGCCCAGGGACTCCCCTGCTCCAGAGACATTTGCATAAAGTGGATGGAAGCAACTCCATGCTGACCGCAGGCCGTTAAGGTACTTAGCCTTGGTTAGCTGGGTGTGGTGGCGCATGCCTGTAATCTCAGCACGCTGGGAGGCTGAGGCAGGAAGATCTCAAATTTGAGCCTAGCATGAGCAATTTAGACCTTGTCTCAAAATAAAAAATAAAAATGAGGGGCCTGGGGGATTCCTGGGTCCAACTCCTAGTACCAGAAAGAAAATCATGGGTTACTAGACAGCTGTCCCAAAGGTACACACCCCAAAGGGGCGCGCGCTGGGAAGGACTTCACCGCACCCTGACCTGCGTTATCCTAGGGTCAAACTTGGCCCAGAACATCCAGGCTCCTCGAGGTAGTTGATCCTAGCCCCGTTCAGGAGAAGCAGCGGGGCAGGCTGGGAGCCCCAAGTGGGCTGCACCCGGCTCCCTCGCGCCCCGCGCCCCTCCTTTCTGCGTCCACGCCTCACGCGGGCGCCCGCAG